GGGGGGTGAAGTTCAAAGGAAAGACTCAAAGGTGACTCAGAGGCTGACTTCCTCTGTGGTGGTACGATTGATGGCAATGGGAAAGATGCAAGGAGGAACCAGCTGATTTGCCAAGGAATATGATGCGTTTAGGTTTGAATACGGTGAGTTGGAGTTGACATTAGGATGTCCAACCGAGAATGCTCAATATGCAAATAGAAATAGGAAACTAAACTCAGGTAAGAGAGTGGGGCTAGAGATTGAAAGTCATATGCATAGGGATCATATTGTAGTAAGTGATAAGAAAGTATCAGTTAGCAAAGAGATTGTTTCCCAGATCTGTTTTTCTCTTGGGGAGCTGCACCTCTTCCCCCTGTCCCCTAAATGTGTTTGCTAACAGAATTTCTTTTTTGAAAGCATCGCATCATCCTTGAGCCTATAAAAACTTGGGCCACAAGATTCTAGTTATCCTTTCTCTGAACTCTGAAATCCATCCCCTCCACCCTCTTCTCTACACTCTCTCCTCTTGGCAACTACAACCATTCCTATGTCTTCAGTTATCACTTCTATGCAATTGACTCCAATGTAGTATCCCCAGTCTCTGAGTTCCACTCCTGCATTTCCAGCTAGATATCATCACCTGGGTGTCCTGCCAATATCTCAAACTCACCATGTCCAAAACTGAGCTCATTTCTCCTCTAAAGGCTATCTTCATTCCTTCTCACTTCTCTATTTTTGTCATTGTCACCACCATTCTTATAATCACCCAGGCTAAAAAACCTTTGAGCCATCTTTAACTCATTCCTCTCCCTTACCACCTCTAATCAATTACCATATCCTTTTGATTCTACCTCCCCAATACTTCTCACATCCATCCTCTCTCCTCTTCCACTGCTATCATCCTAGTTCAAGCACTCATTACCTCTTGCGTAGACTTATTGTTACAGCTAATATGTCTGCTTCCTCCATTCTCTTCCCTTGTCCAATCCAGTCAGACATCAAGCACATATTAAGCATTAACTATGTGTCAGACACTGTGCTAAGCACTGTGGATATAGTGAGAGGCAAAATACTGTCTTTGCTCTCCAGGAGCTCACATTCTAATGAGAGAGACAACAGGTAAATAACTAGGTAGATATAAGACATATATATGTATGTCTATATATATATGTAGACATACATATATATATAGACATATATATATATATACACACACATATCTATACATGTATAAAGTAGATGGAAGGTGGTCTCAGAGGAAAGACAATAAGGAAAGAGGAGAGGGGTCTGGAAGAGGCTCCCCAGAGAAGGTAGGATTTAAGTTAAGTCTTGAAAGAAGCCAAAAATTAAGACACAGAGCTGGGTAAGGAAAGCATTCCAGGCTTGGGGGATAGCCAACACAAAAGCAGAGACGGGAAATGGGGTGTCCTGGGTGAGGAACAGTAAGTAGACAAGCATGACTGCATTTTTAGGTGTATGAAGGGGAGTAAAGTATAAGAGTACTAGAATGGTGGAAAAGGACCAAGTCGTAACAGGCTTTAAATGCCAAACATAGGGTTCTGGCTGTGTGAGTAGAAATCAGGGCATATATATACATTATGAAAGAAGAAACAAGATTTGGTGATGAATTGGACAAATGAGGTGAGAAGGATGAGTCAAGGGTGAGCTGAGGTGGAGTCTGATGGTGGTGGTGCCCTCAATAGCAATAGAAAAGTTGGGAAGAGGAGAAAATTTGAGGAGAAAGATGAGTTTAGTTTCAATCTTGTTGAACTTGAGATATCCAAAAGGCAGTTGATGATACAGGACTGGAGCTCAGAAGAATGGCTGGATAAATAGATGTAGGAATCACTTGCAAAGAGACAAATAATTGAATCTGTGGTAGCTGATGAGCTCACCAAGTGAGATAGTATAGAGGGAAAAAAGGGCCCAGATTAGAACCTTGGGGGTCACCTACAGGTAGTAGGCAGGACATAGAAGAATATCCAGCAAAAGAGACTGAGAAAGGAGTGGTCAGACAAGTAGAAGAACCAGGAGAGAATAGACTTTTCTCTAAGTCATGAAAACTTAGAGAGAAAAGTATCCAGGAGGAGATGGTGATCCAGTATCAAAAGTTGCAAAGAAGTCAAGAAGAGTGAGAATAGATTTGCCAATTAAGAGATCATCAGTAACTTCGGAAAGGTCAGATTCAATTGAATGATGAAGTTGGAAACCAGGATTGATAACTGAGTGAGAGGTGAGGAGGTGGAGGCATCAATTATAGATCTCAAGGAATTTGTTTATATATCAATTATTATAGGAATTGGTTATATATCAGTTATAGATCTCATGGAATTTAGCCAAGAAGAGGAAAAGAAATAGGGGCAATAAGTTAGCAGCAGTTCTGGGAAGGGTGCTTTTTAAGGATGGGAGAGACATAGACATGTTTGGAGGCAGAAGGAAAGGAGCCAGAAGGTAGGGAGAGACTGAAATTAGAGAGAGAGAGAGAGAGAGAGAAGAGAGAGAGAGAGAGAGAGAGAGAGAGAGAGAGAGAGAGAGAGAGAGAGAGAGAGAGAGAAGAAATGATTGTAGGGGCGATCTTCTGGAAAAGATGGAGGAGATAGGATCCATGTAGAGAGGTTTGCCTTGGCGAGAAGAGCCACCTCTTCATCAGAGGCAAGATCTATCCTTCATACATCAGCCAGAGTAATCTTCCTACACCTCATATGTGACTATGTCACCTCCCTTAGCATAGATCATTGTACATAATATGCCTGATGAGTTTTTGCTGAAAACGCTTGTTAGAGGGAAAGCATGCGAAGAGAGCCAACAAGTAAAGGTAGAGGTCATTAAGAATCTATAGGAAATCTTAGGGTCAGGAAATAAAGGCTGAGTATGCTGAAAACATCAGAGTATCAAAGCATATCACATTTCATAAAAGGATCCTGATTACTTTACAAGTAAGCAAGAGTTTTCCTCTCCCAGAAAGAGTGGGGTGGGGAAGGGTGAAGGAAGGGAAAATTGGAGTGTATAGAACCTGGCTTATGCTTGTCCGTATGGTCAACACAATTGATTGCCAAATGAAAAATGAAGGCATTGGGTCAGCAAATATTTGATCCAAATTGTTTGTCTTAAGCAGCGAAATCACCAGGTTGAATCCATTCAACTTTTGCCTACGGCCCAGAGGCATGTGACACAAGAAGGCATGGGTGTGCCCAAGAACTTAAATTTCAGTCATTATAAGTCTGTTTTTCTCATCATTTTACAACAAACAGGGCCGAAGATGCTTTTCCCGCAAAGAATGTTGCTGTGTATAAAATTGCCAGCTGAAGGAGAATAACTTCAGCTCTTGCTTAATCTCCATCATTTATCCATCAAGAATTATTGAGCACAATTACAATCGATCAGTCACTTAAGTACTGTTACTCCCAAGGGGCACTGTTAGTAAGAGGCACATAGGAAAACAGATCAAGAAAACAAATACATTCCTGATAGTCTTTGCAACATGATTTTCACATTAAAATATCTAATGTCTCTCTCCTGTATTTCGCATCGATTTGGATGGAAATTTCTCCCTTTATGGTTTACTCTCTGTATGTACTTATAGGAATGACAGCTGGTCACTACTCGGACCAGTATGTTCTTTAACAGGCTGAAACAACTAGACACTCAAACTTTACTCCCTCACGCCAAGAAAGCAAACTCTTCGTCCCAAAACCAGACCATGACTTATAAATACAGACTAGGGTTCTATATCTTACAGATCTTCACTGTCCAAATACAATGGTTAATTAAACATTCTGGTTTTAAAAGGATCTATGAAAAATAATTTTTTTAATTAAAAAAAAATTTTTTTAACAAAATGATCTATGTTTTTTACTGAGAGGCAGCACGTTATAGAGGACTAGCTAGCCTCAGAACCAAGAAAACCTGGGCTCAAATTTGGCCTCTGATGTGTACTGACCCATGGGAAAGTCATTTAACCTCTCAGTTCATCAGTGACTCTCTAACAGTTACCAATAGCACAAATCAGCTGCTGATTGGTAGAGGAAGTTTACTCACCAGAAATTCCTTAAGCCAGTAAAATCACAGGTCTGGAATTTTTTCTATTGTAACTGAGATTCCATTACAACAAATTCCAAAGGACGCTATGTAGCCTGGGGGTGGGGAACCTGCAGCAGTCTAGACTGTTACAGGTAGCTAGGTGGCAGAGTGGATAGAATGCCAGGCATGGAGTCAAGAAGACTCATCTCCCTGAGCTCAAATCTGACCTCAGACACTTACTAGCTATGTGACCACGGGCAAGTCACTTAACCCTGTTTGCCTCAGTTTTCTCATCTGTAAAATTAAGGAAATAGCAAGACATGACTGAAATAACTGAACAACAACAACAAAATCTAGACTCTTCCACTGTGCTAAAAAGTTTCTTTTGTCAAATATTGCTAAAAATAAATGGACTTGGATTTGAAATATTTTGGTCGTAGCAATTATCACTGAAATATTATTATTATAGTGAGACTTTGTTCCATGCCATGAAATAAAACCATGTACTAGTTCCTAATCGTATGGAATATAATCATTATTGCATATGGAGAGTCCTTCATATTGCTGACATGATACGTCAAGAATATATCCATTTTTAAAATACTACTTGTAGCTGTTATTGTTCAATCATGTCCAACTCTTCATGACCCCATTAGAAGTTTCTTTGGCAAAGATACTGAAATGGTTTGCCATTTCCTTCTCCACTCATTTGACAGATGAGGAAACCGAGACAAACAGGGTTAAGTGACTTGTAAAGGGTAACACAGCTAGTAAGTGTCTGAGGCTGGATTTAAACCCAGGTCTTCCTGACTCCAGGCCTGCCCTCTATCTACTGCACTACCTAGCTACCCCATTACTCTTAGTATAGATACACAAATGTAGTGTCTTTGTATATATGGTTTGATCCTCTTAATCATTCTGTGTATTTGAATACATACTAGACTAAAAACTTCAAAATAACATTGCTGGGCACAGTTCTTAAAATATATCTTCTCTTACAGGTATTCAAGAAGGAACACAATGTACCAAATGTAAAAATAATTGGGCCCTGAAGTTTTCTATCATATTATTATATATTCTGTGTGCCTTGTTAACAATCACAGTAGCCATTCTTGGATACAAAGGTATGTACCATATGAATTTTCCTTTCCAATAGCAAGTTAACTAACTATGAAATGAAAAGTGATTTATCTACAAATATAAAAATTAAGTGTCTTATTTATATTAAACTTAGTAACATAACTTCAGGCTCTGTACTCATCACTTTAGGATAGCCATATTGTCTAAAGGGCAAAAACATCAGTGATTTCAGTGATGATTCTCTCCTATGTGAGGATTTTTGGTTTTTTAGGCCTTTGGTGTTGTATAATTTTCCTTGTCTGTGAAGTGAATTATCATTTCCAGCTACACTGTCTTCCTTAGTCTTTTCCTGTCCTATCTTAGCGGTCATATGAAAACCTTGGAGCCAGCACACAGTAAAGCCACAGTGATGGTGGCCAAATAAAATAAAAAATCTCCATGGCTACTAGTTCCTTCAGCCAGTGTCTACACAGCCACTTCCCTCTTTTCTCCTTAGCAGATTTACTGTGGTCACAGTTGGTTTGAGCTAGTTTAATGTCTATAATATGTGTAGCACAATATAAACTACCTTGAAGAAGTTAAAAGGTAAAGTAAGTGAAGATCAGAGTTGTAATTCAGTTAACTTTTTTGAATTAAAGAGAAGGAAACATCTGATATCCCTTTCATTTCATACTCCATAGAATTAATCTGATCGAGTAAAATTTTCTTCTCTAGTTGGAGCATTTTTTCCTCTTGTGTGACTAAAAGTAAAAGTATCATAATTAAAATCACCAGTGGGAAACAACAAAGAATTATGGAACTCTTCCTAGACACATTCATGTTAGGCTCATTTCTGTGATTTCAACACACAAACAGACATGGACAGAGTCTACTAATCTTAATAACTTTAACTCAGCAGCCAGCTTCAGCTGCCTTCCCTCAGACTGTCAGATTGTGCAACCGACACAGGAAAAGGAAAATTCAGAGGCCCACTAGCTCTCTGCTCCTCTCACTATGCCCACTGCAGCTGCTTTGGGGGCAAGGGGGTGGGTGGGGAAGATCTAATATGCAAGTATCTTGGCCATTTCCTCACACCTTTTGTTCTCTTCAGAACTATGTGTTCTACAGTACCTGTCACATTCACAGCTAGGCATTTCCCTGAAGTATTCTTCAGCCTGCCCCCTAATGCCAGGTATACTCAGAAAAAAAGCATAGCATGGAACTTTCCATTTACCCTGCAATGTATTGACATAATGAAGAATTGGGAAAATTATCAGGCCTTTTATTCCCTTTCACTTGCGGCAGCCTCATGTAAGTAAAGGACACCTGTATTGAGGAAAATGAGGTCCAACAAGTATCAGTGTTCAGGTTATGTAGATAGACAGACACAGACACACACACACACACACACACACACACACACACACACACATACACACACACACACACGCATGTACACACGCATATTAGGGAACTGGAGTCACCTGAAAGTATCTCCCCACCTAAAGGAAAAGCTTTATTTTGTTATGAATGATTCACATTAGCCAACTTCATCAAATTAGCCAGCTTTCCATTTTTTTCAGTCTGTGTAAACATGATTAGTGATGCAGTGGCAAAGCAGTAACTAAAAATCAAGTGGTGACAATTGAGCTTTTACTGAGTCTCTGTAGGGGGCTTCTATAGAACAGTATATTAAACCCTCGGAGTTGAATATTTATTATAGAAAGAAAAGGCACAGTCCTTGCCTTTGAAAAGCTTACCTCTGTGTAACATTTGGCCAATTTTTAGTTTTGTTAGGAAATAATTCAGAGAAACTTTGTGCCTTCTTAAGGCACAAGGAAAAGTCCAAAAGCAAGACTCTCTGCAGCTTTTAGATGTTACTTCCTCAGTTTTTATAACCTTAGAAAGGAAAAAAATGAACAAAAAGACCTCCTAGGAGCCTTGGACCTTTGCAGCAAGCATCCCCTCACTCTCCAGGTCATTGCTTATGACTGTTTGGTACCGTCCAGTTCTCCTGTTTCCTATTTTTTTTTTAGGCATCGTGTTCACAAGTGCAACATTCTTGTGTAGTCCTTGTCTACTTCCTTTCTTTTCAATTCAGCTATTTGCAAAAACCTGCATATCCCATGACAGTTTCAGTAACCCTATTACACAGGCAGAATCTTAAGCCAAATAGCTCAAAGACTTATTTTGATATCACTTGCCTGTTCTGAATGTACTGGATCTTGAGTCCTGGGGAAATATATTCCAAAGGAACTTTTGAAATTCCACCTCCCGACCTCCCCCATCCACCTCCACCCATTATCCCTTTTGTTTCTCTCCTTCTACAGACCCAAAATTGGACTTTTTTTTTTGAATAGCATTTCTGCAGCAAAAGGTTTATGTGAACAGCGGGCAATCCTCTAAACTCTTCACTTAAGATGTCCTCAATATGCCTGTGATCTATGGCTCACAAAGCTGCTCTGAAAACTTCGTTTATTGCAGATTCCTTGGATACTCTAGGGAAAGAGCAAAAACCACTAATTCATAAAGTTTTGTGCATTGTTGTTACCTTTCACCAAAAGTGTTTACCTGTATACGCTCCCCTAACCTTTGTAGTTCAGCAGAGCACAAGAGTGAAATAAATAAAATAAACTCTCTGTCATTTTAACCTGCCACTCGATCCAATCCAGCAAATGTTTTAAGCACCTACTGTGCCCCAGGTACTGTGTGAGATGCTAAGGAGGATACATAGACAAAAATAGCTCCTGCCTTCAAGGATGTGTTCTACAGGGCAGAACATAACATATATTCAGATAAATTAATATAAGGTGTAATTTGAGGAGGAAGGAAGTATTTTGAGCAAATGGGTGGGAGGGGAGTCAGGAAAGGTTTCAAAACAGAGGTGGCTCCTGAATTGAGCCTTGCTGAAAGATAAAGATTCCAAAAGGTAGATGTGAATTGTTACTGATCCAAAGCACACAAGCACGTAACTAGCTGAGGTATTCCTGAGTATTTTGAATTATTAGTCAAGAAAACCACTGGAACAGCTTTTCAAGGGGAAAGGAGAACCACAGAATTTCAGTCATAGGAGACCCCTGGGGCCATTTAGTACAACCCATATGTGAAAAAGAATCCCTTCTAAGCTATACCAGACAGAAAAAGTTATTGAGCCTTTACTTAAAGACTTCCAGAGAGTAGAAACTCATCTTCCTCCCATTCCTCACTTAGCTAGTTCTAATAGTTAGGAAGTTTTTCCCCACGCTTTTTTGCCCCTTCCATTCGTCGTTCCTAGTAATATTACTAAGAACTTAACACTTTAAGGTTTGCAAAGCACCTTACAAATATTATCTAATTTTATCCACACAGAATCTCTGGGAAGTAGTGCTAAAATAATAGTGCTATTTTTTCCCCTCCCTTTTACAGAGGAAGAAACTGTGGCAGACAGAGATTGACCAACTTGCCCAGGGTCACAAAGCTAGTATATGTCTGAGGTCACATTGGAACTCAGGTCTCCCTGACTTCAGGTCCAATACTCTTATTCATTCTTCTGCTTAGTTTGGAAGAGAGCTGTTCTGACCCCTCTCTGTCTTTCCTCTCTGGGCTAGGCATACCCCATTCCTTTAACTAATCTTTGAATGGAATGGACTCAGGACCCTTCACTATTTAAAGGTTCTCCAGCTTTTCAATATCCTTCCTAAAATGGAGCCCCAAAATCATACAATACTCCCGATGTGGTCTCATAAGGACATAATAGTATGGGACTATCACCTCCTTATTTCTGCAAGCTGTGACTCTCAATACAGCCTAAAGTCACAACCACTTTTTTTGGCTACCACATCAAATCATTGACATATTCAGCTTGTGGCCCCCTCAGATCCTCATAACATTTTTCGATAATCTTCCCCCTACTTAGACTTCCCTCATCTTGTACTTGGAAGGTAGATTTTTTTTAAGCCAAGTGTTACACTTTATATTTATACCTGTTAAGTTTCATCTTATTAGAATTAACCTATTGACTTAGTTAAGTCTTTTTTAATCCTAACTCTATCATCCAGTGTGTTTATTAACCCTCTCAGCTTCATACCACCAGCAAATTTGGTAAGAATACCATCTGCGTCTTTATCCAAGTTATTGATAAAAATGTCAAGGAAATGTGGGTCAAGCACAGAGACCTGATATACTGGAGTCATCCTTCCAGGTTAACATAAAACTGTAGTGACTACTCCTCCAGTCTGGTTATTCAACCATTTCTGAATCTATCTAATCATACTATTGTCTAGTCCAAATTATTCCATGTTTTCCATATTAACAGCATAAAATACTTTGTCAAATGCTATAAAGAGACAGAAACAGACAGAAAGAGAGGCAGAGACAAAGAGAAATAGATTAATGGAGAGATAAAGAAAAAAGAGGAGAGAGAGAAGGACAGAATGAGAGAAAGAGAGAGAGAAGGAAAGAAGGAAAAAAAAAGAGTGAGTCTTGGCCAGACCTGTTCTTGATGAAGTCATGTTGCTCTTTGTGATCTTTAATTCTTTTTTTAGATTTCAGTAACCATCCCTTTAATAACACATTCCAGGATTTGGGCAGAAATTGAAATCAATCTGACTGACCTATAGTTTGCAGGCTCCATTTTCTTCCTTTGTTGGAAAATCAGATCATTTTGCCCATCTCTAATCATGTAGCGTCTTCCTCATTCTCCACAATCACTTCAACTTTGCCAAAATAGAAATGGCCATTAAATAAGAATTGGACCAAAGATCTGTACTTATATATGTATATAAACTAGAGGATTATGATACAGCTGTTGTTGGGATCCAAGCCATGAAACAGTCTTATAATAAGTTGAGGGGTTTTTTGTATTTCCATAATTCAACTTTATTGGCTAGAGTCCCAATGTTTTTGCTTTACTACTTTACAAAATCTATGATCTCATCGGTGAGTGTAATCCTACCACCAATCAGGTTGCCATTCACATTTTCCTGTAAATACTCAGTGGATTGTCCGATATCCAATGCCTTGGATGCCTTCTTTTTGTTCTTTATTTGTGGTACCAATGTACCTCACCATCTCTTTTTTGATCAGA